GACATCGCCCAATTAAAGAATGGGAAGGGGTAAGGACGTCTAGGTCATTGGGATCGGAAGATAAGGGTATTAGGGGTCGGGAATTGAGGATTGATTATATTTGTGCTAGAATGGTACTCAAATCTTCATATGTCAATGCAGCGTTACCCACAACCTTCTTTAAGTGCGATTTGCAAGAACGTACCCTTGCTTCCCAACGACCACTAAAGTTGGGAGCGTTTGGAGGAATAAAAGACCAATTTACTACTTAATTATTAATATCAGTGCCAATTGCTTCTGACTGAGTCCTTAGAAACCCCGCTAATTCTCTGAGTTCCGATCTTACTCCAACAAAGTTTTAACCATTATCAAAAAACATTTTAAAAAGCTTACCCCTTATTGCCACAAATCTTCTAAAACAGGCAATAAATGAGTCTGTAGATAAATCTGAAACCGCTTCGATATGAAGAGCTTTGGTTGAAAAACATAAAAATACTAACATAACATTTTGAAATTTTTGCTCCACGACCGTACTTATTTTCGATGTATAGGGGTCCTGCCTAAACCACCCCCCTTAATGTACAAAGGTGGGACCGGGTTTACTCTCTCTGCCGGCAAGACACCCATCACTTGCTCCAGAACCCTTGGATTCGACTTAAAATGCCTTTCTAGCCGATCCACGACCACTCATAATTCAATACCTTTCCCTTAACGAACAAAACAATAAGTGAGGACCAGCGTGCAAGAACCGGTAATGCTTCCTATCCACCAACATATGAGTAAAAGTATGCTTTTAGCTTAATATAATGTTTTTTGGAATATCCTAGGTTTGCCAATTGTAGCCTATCCCCCACCCTCAGCAACCTCTGGTCATCGATAAATAGACTTAAATGCTGCAGGTTTTTTCTTTAAAATATCATATATTTCATGACCAAAACATTCCTTCTGAACCCTTTATTTTAGAACCACCCAGGCTCCTTAGAGGTAAAGAAGCCTTATCACCATTACTTTTTTGTCTATTAATATAACTATAAATATGACATAAAGCCCCTTGTAACCTAGTTTAATTATTAAACTTGTGAAAGTGAAATTTATCTGCATCTGGTGTCGCAACCAATAGTACCTTCATCTCGGGTAAATCCGTTGCATCCTCTTATTTGTTATTGGCCATTTGGATCGATCCAAATTTAGCCAGACTGGTCCGTTCCACCATTTCGAACAATCTAACAACTGATTAGGGTACATCCCCTTTGACAGAATATCGGCGGGATTATCCTCCGTTTCGACATATCTCCACTCATCATTCGAGGTTACACCTTGAATTAAAGATACCCTATTTACAACGAATGTTTGCAATTTATGCATAGCGGTACCTAGAATCACACCACCATAGAATCACACCATAACCATACACTACCAATTTCCAAGGTTTTTGTACTTCCTACTCTGCCAATCAGCTAAGCCAGAAGCACTGCACCGTATAATTCTAGCCGTGAAATTGTTAGTTTCTTAAGACTCTAGCCTTAGAACAACGCAGTGACAATTGAATCTCTTCAGAATCTGTTCGGCTTCTCACAGATACACATGCACCATACGCCACTATAGAAGCATCACAGAATCCATGAATTTCTATTTGGTGATTATTCCCAACCACCTTTCTTGGGATCATAAGCTCATTTAATGTTACCATCTCAGTTTTAAATATTACTCAATCAATCTTTAGAGAAATAGGTAAAGACTCATCCCAATACAAGTTTTCCAGTCATAACTTCTGGATCAATATGTTTGCCAAAACCACCGCTGATGCTACAACTCTAGCGGTATTGAAAATCTTTGAAACCTCTGATAAAATAGATCGTTTCGATGCTCTTTTATTAGCATCCGTACATTGTGCAGAAAACCTTTATTGATCCTTATCGAAAGTGCCACACAATCCCAATGTTTTATTAGCATCCTTGTCCCCAAATGCTTCCTGATTAGAGTCCCTAGTTTCACCATTTAAACCGTTCTGAACAGAAGCCTTATTCTTAAGCTCATGGCACCTGAACTTAAGATATTTACCACTTCCATGCACAACTTAATTGCCTCTTCTGCAGCTTCAGCTCCCGTCAGTAAATCATCAGCGTAGTAGAAGTCTTTTAATATAATTGTTAGCACCTTAGGAAAGCTATCAATATTATCTAACGCCAACTGGTGAAGACACCTTATTGCCAATATTGAGTTGATCTTATCCCATCCGTTACGGTATTCAATGTCCACTCCGATATTTCATTATCAGACGAATATCTCTAAATAATTTTTAAAGTGATCGCTGCTCTGATGACACCCAAATCATCCGATACATTTTAGTCATATCGCCAAATACTACCATTTGATGTTGCCTGAATGTGACCAAAATAAAAAAAAATCTTATTGCTTAGGACCATTAAATTGTACGCCTGTATCACTGCCAGCACTTACATTAAACACTACTCAAAAGTTATTTTGTCCTCTGAATCAGATGCCAAATTTGTATGAAAAAACAAGAAAAAACTATTGGAAAATGCAAACACCAACGGGATTACTATACTTACGTAAGGAACTAGAAAACCAAACAAACAATGGCGAAGATAACCTAACCATCAAATATGTCAACGGAATGCCCAAAATTGTTACATTTCGCCAATGATAGCTTTTCTCCATCCTATCTCGTTGATTGGTTTCTCTTATACATTAATTTATGTTCTATTAACTCTAAATATAATAAATTTATGTGCACTGTTTAACTTCTTAAACCTGACATAATTCTTATCAGTGAAACCTGGTTAAATACCTCAACTCCCGACTCACTAGTTGATATCGACGGATACACAATCTTTCGCAGCGACCGAGAAAACCGAATTGGTAGTGGCGTTTGCATTTACTTATCAAAAAATATTGTAAATAATTTCTCTGTATCTCCTGTACACATAAAAATATCTAATATTGATGTAATATGTATAAAAATTACTAAACATTTAACTTCTGTACATCTTGCATGTATTTATCGACCCGGTGATACCCTTTTAAATGACACCATTACGCTGCTATCAAAACTTGAAGATCTATCTGTTCTTGATAACACAGTTATTATTGGAGACTTCAATTTTCCTGATATTTCCTGGCCCATTATGAATGTTCCCAACGGCAACAACTCCAAAAATCTTTTTATGAACATTGTTCAAAATTCCAACTTATCTTCAATAATGATCCTTGAACACTCGACCTTCTCTTTACAAATGACACCCAATTATTATTGTCCTCCCTAGAGGTTAGTAGTACTACATGTAATTTAGCTTCACTTGAAAATATATTTTTTACTGAAACCCAAATCAAAAATAATTTACTAGGTATTAAAGCTAACTCTTCCCTTTGCCTTGACGGCTTAACACCTTATTTCTTAAAAAAATGCGCAGGCGTTTTGTCATACCACATTTCTATAATAATGCATACATCCTTCACTCTAGGTTCTCTTCCCTCCTCCTGGAAATCTGCATCTGTTACTCTGATCTTTAAAAAAGGCACTAAACTTGATTCCAATAACTACCACCCGATCAGCCTCCTACCAGTTATTTATTTCATAAATACTGACTCCCGACTTCGTGGACATTCGCTAAAACTTCAGAAAGAAAACTTCAAAACAAAAACGAGACAACATTTTCTGAGTAACAGAATCTTCGAAGTCTGGAACAACCTGCCCCAAGAAATTATAGATTCCCAAAGTGTCAATATTTATAAAAACAATATAGACAAGCATATTTTTCACAATTCATATTTATATTTTTGGACTTACCACCTGAACAATGTTCGAACTACATTTGCATGTAGCTCATTTTCGAATTTAATTTTGTAACTATACTTGTATTTAGTCTTTAGATTTATTTTAAAATCATTTCTTGATTTTATAGTTTTTAGGTTAATTAGTTTGCTCTTTTTTTACTGGGCACAATAGGACACCGTCCTCTGCCCTTATTGTAATAATAATAAGTTTAGTAGTTTCACTTCCTTCGTTTAATAACCCATGGTCCGGCATATAATACGAAACCTCGCTTTCTGATTTAGCCAACGACATATGCCTCAACTGTTGGTATTCCTACATAAAATTCTAATACATCTTACCTAACTTCGGATTTTTCTGCATCCTGTGTTTCATTGCCAAAATTCTCTAAACTGCCATTTGTTTTGAGTCTCCTAACTTTAACAATAAATCCAATAATGGAACCTGTACAATGAACCTTCTATTGTTTCCTTAAATAGCCTTTCACATTCTCTCTCTTCTATAGAATCATATTGAATTTCCGCCGCCAACTCTTCTGTTTTCTATGGTTCATAATGCAGTATGTGCAGTATACAGCAGTCGATTCGACAGCTGTCTGCATAATAATAAACACAATATACATTATTGCAATAGAATAGGGCCCTATTATGAATGAATGGATTAGTCTAGTAGTTTTTAGTCGTTGATATCCACAAATTCACTTGGCTTAAACATAGCTTAAACGACGAAAGAACTGACTCACTCCACTTAAATATAAAATTGTAACAGTCTAGAAAGATCCAACTCTGACTAGCAGCTCAGTTAGTCTAGAAGTTCTGGAATTTATTCTACATGCTTAGGATCGTGAGAGAGAACATTCGAGTCTAGTCACGATCACGAATCGAGCGAGAAGCGACAATGGAATCGTAGATAACTCGGCGGCTTGTAAGGAGAAGTCCAGGGTCAGAGCGGTCCTCACACAACAGAATTATATGCTTCTTTTTTGTTGCAGTATCATTTCGAGATAATTAACTTTGTTTAGAATGAATATCTCAATTATTAAATATCATTCTGTGAAAACGGTTAAAGTACCAACGCAAAACATTTCACAGCCAACTCCGTCATTATACGAAGTTTTCAGCACATCTCGGTATAATGTAAGGGATAATATTTTTAAACGGGATAAAAATGTGTTTTCTATTTAAGATTAGGTATATTTTAAAAGATAAATCCTTCAGCGACTTACTAGATCAGTGACTATATATCCTGTTAGGATCGGTGATAAAATTCCTGGTATAGTTGCAATGGTATTATTCATGCCAAATATCACACCAGCAAATTTAGGGGCTATATATAACGAATTTGTTCTAAAATGAAAAACATGAAAAATATTAATACATTGGGAAATGCGCTCATTATTTACTTAATTATGCAGATTGGAAAATACAATAAATTCATTTAAATTTGGTAAATATCATCCAAATAGGCTCTATTACTTCTGTTTGAAATACTTTTGTTTTGAAAATTTAATAGACTTTCTTAGCTTATATACAGTCTTTTAAAACGAAGGTGGAATACAATCTCCTATTTTTTGACTATAGTTATCTGATCGCATTATATATTTTACTAAAAATTTAAAATATCATTAACTACATGAAATACTTACACCATAGCACTTATAGCTATCCCTCCCAGTCCCACGCCAATTATTAAACAAAGAGGTGTTCCGACAGAAGAAATCCAATATCCAGCTACTAAAATAAAAATTGCTTGGCCCATCAATCCAGTCACAATTAAACATTTTGTAACGTTGGTTGTACTCATACATTTTCTCCTTATTAAAAAATCTGCTAGTTGACCACTCATTTGAACACTAATGGAAGTTACTAGATATGGCATGGCTGACAGAACGCCTGCTTTTGTTAACTCAAAACCTAGAAGAGCTGAAAAAAGGTGAATAAATATAATCAAATTAATCAAGGAATTCAAAGAAAAAAATATTTGAGTAAACTCAATCTGAATAAGTCTTTAGATGCCTGACTTGTCAATACCATGAAGTGAATTTTCATTAGAAACAATTGGTAGTCATTTTTTCTGTTTCAAAAAATTGCTGTATTATTTCATAGTTATCTTGTCATTCCTTTTTTCCTGAACTCGTCTGACCGTTGCTAATAATTTATCTTAATTCACAAAACCTCTTTTTAAATTGACTGAGTGTATATTATTATTTTGTGGTGGCCCAAAAAATTCTTGAGATCCAAGAATTCGCAGATACAGTGTATGTTCTATTTAGCTATTTTTGGTTTTTAATGTTCAACATGAAAGAAGTTGTTATTAAGTACTTGTGTTTCACTACTGATGCCTGCAATGTCATGAGTCATGTTATTAATTTGTAATGGTTCCTATTCATAAAAAGTCCTGGTTTCCATTTTTACTGTACATGATTCTGTAAAAAAGCCTTTCCTGATGTCGATATTGCTTCAGGAAAGATCAGTGATCAAGGATAAATAGTAGGTCCACTTTTATTTGTCATGTATACTTCTCAATTGTCAACTGCTGTTAAAAATTGTCATTCATAGGTACTCTTGCAGCTATATTCCTTTTGGAAGATAAAAATATTGAGGTTGCTGCAATAAGATTAATGATTAATCAATTCTTTCTTTATTTGATAAGTATCTACTGTTTAAGCATAAACCCTTCTAAATAATTAATTATGCTTTTTGTCTGTCTGCTACAAAAAACGAAATCTTAATGACCTAAATGTTAGCTTGAATGTAGATCTATTATTAGTTCATTCCTCTATAAAAATTCTAGGTATACATATTGAAATCTCACTATGATTTTTTCACTGCAGTTTAAAGTTACTATTCTCTAATGAGAGTTTACTTGCCAATACTATTCTAAAAACTAAATATACTGATGAGCAAACTCCTAGCGATTAATTGAGACAATATTTTAAATCAAAAATTAAAAAATAGCTTACATTTCATGATCTGTGGCAAAAAGGTCAACATAGTATTAAAACCCCACGATTCACAAGTTAGGCAAATAGTGTTAGCTATCACAGCTCGTGAAGTTATTATCTTAGTCCAAGGTACTTTGATTTTGGTGTTATTTTTTACAGCTTTGATAGCTTCAGTAATATAAACTAATTCTTTTTGGTCTATTCGGGAATCTTTAGAAGGTGTGTCTCGAATAACTATGATCCATACTAGGTACCAAATTAAGCCAAGTGTTCCTAGAAATAAGGAATATACATATTTTTTTGCTATTAGTTGCTTTTGTTTTTTATCACCAGTAAAGTTTGGTATTAAAAAAAATGTTTTATTATCCTTACCAAATACATAAAAAATAGTTTCCCAACCATAGGCGGTAGCGATTAAAGAACAAATAGGCATAGCAAAAACTCCTCCAAAATAGCTTCCTGATAATGCAATGCTGACTAGACGACTTCTTTCTGATGGTGGTGCCCAGTGAGTCCAAACTTCTTGTAAAGCTGAATAAGTGACACCCTAGAAAAATAAAAGTAGACCAAATTATCAAAACCATATATGAGATTTTAAAATCATATTACTGGTCTAGTAAAGGAAGCATGACAATAAAAGATATTAACGCAAGTTTACCACAAGTTAGCGTGCTAGGACCAGATGTGGAGAACAAAAATAAATGAGAGCGTTCAAAATTAATTAGCTTTACCTGTGAAGAAAGAGAGTAATTATTAATACCTACCCATAAATAATAAAGAGATACCACATAGTGAAATGCCTGGGAATAAACCTGGATGCTCGATTAAAATGGAAAGAAGATATAAGTAAAGAAAAAGGAAAAAACTTGAGCTTGATCATTAAAAATGGGAATTGGGACAAAAAATGGAAAATGTCTATGTAGATAAGTTATTGTTGTATAAACAGATTTTATTACTAGTCGGGCTCCATGGAGTCCACCTCTAGTGATGTGAAGCAAAGAGCAATATACACAAAATTCAAATATTTCGGAGGTACTCTAGATGCACTTCAGCCAGATTTGAAGATACTGGCACTTAAAGGAGAGGGTCAGTTCATCGCTCGACAATTCAAAGTCGACATTTCATCTCCACATTTTATGGCTACGAAATTTCATAATTATTGTTTTATCTATTCTCTATTCCTAATTATAGAATTATCAGAATGAGACCAAATTTATATTGGACCACCCCTGAGGTACCCCTGTCTAACAAAAAAAGAATCATAAAAATTGACCTATGTTCTAAATAATTGAATCATTTGAAAATTCAGAAACAAGTCTCAAAAATCTCCCTACCTATTATTAAGACCATCCCCGTACCTCAATGGTGAAAACAAATACTTGAAGATGTTTCACTAAATAATTATCGCTGAACATTCATAAATCCAAAATATTCCAACGAATTAGGCACCTTTTCCTTTGTTTTAAGTCGTTTTAAAATAGGTATTACTGGATTTTAAACAATAAAGTTACATTTTGAAAAATTTTATAATTTGCTCCAAACAAGCAAGCACATTTTATTATTTTACCAAAACTTTTAAGAGAGTATACACAAAATATGGTTAATATAAACAGTTATGAAAGAATACTTAAATAGGGCTTTGAAATAAATACTATTATGAATCTTAAATTATAGAGGTATTCTTATTATCTAATTGAGAACTCATTGTGATTGCTGACTCTTTAAGTCCATATTTTTTCAATGTTACTTACCTCAAATGCCCCTTCTATGGTTCTTACAGCAATAAGTAAATAAACATTGGTTTTTGCAATCCATGGAGTAATAAGTGTAAAAATGGAAGTGGCTGCTATTCCAAAACCATATACTTTAGCACCTCCTATTTGTACTGCAAAATAACCTCCCAAAATTTGGGTTAAGATGTATCCATAGAAAAAAGAACTTAATACATATCCTCGTATAGTAGAATCCCATTCAAATTCTCTTTTCTACAAAAAATAATTCTTGATTTTATTATAGTAAACATAAATAAATGATCTGGCTCACGCGAGTAAAGGGGCTATGTTCATTCTAGAACAAAATCGCGTTTTTCTTATGGAAATTAACATGGGAATTTCTAAGGTTCATTCTGGCAATTTTTGTCGCTTTCAAGGTCACGCGTCGAAGTTCGAAGTCTGGGTTATCAGTAAACATGATAACGTCGAGAATCCAAGATGGCGGCAATAGTTGACGTAAACAATGAAAAATATACGAGGTAAATGAAAAGTCAGAAGGGCCTTAGCGTATATCTCAGCTATCGTTGGTCCGATTTAAACGGGAAAAACGACATTACGTAGAGAATGATGAACGTTGAATATAAAAAACATGCGCAATGCCGCAAAGGCCTTAGCGTGTATCTTCACTGCTATTGGTCCGATTTAAACGGGAAAAACGGCATTACGTAAAGAACGATTAATGTACAAGAGAAAAATCCTGTGCAATGTCACAAGGGCCTTAGCGTTTATCTCAGCTATACGGGAAAAACGACATTACGTAAAGAACGATTAACGTAAAAGAGAAAAATCTTGTACAATGTCAAAGGGGCCTTAGCACGTATCTTCACTGCTGTTGGTCCGATTCAAACAAGAAAAACGGCAATATGTAGAGAACGAATAACGCTTAAAACTACAACGTGGCCAAAAGGACCTAAGTCTCGGCGGAGTCAACGAAATCGTCAGCTGTCAGCGTAACCTAACCTATGAAGTTGGGTAACGCCATTTTCTATCCGGGCCATTCAGCTGTATGGAGGAGACGTCACCTGTTAGTGACGCGACTGGAATATATCGCCGGGCGTAGCAGCAAAGTCAGTGGACGGCTAAGCGATCCAAGATGGCCGTTGCACAGTATAGCCTGCACCTGGAGGGGAAAACGGGGGAGTGTGGAAACCGGCGCAATATGAGTCGACCGGCGTAAGTCAGAAGGAGCAGGTGCACTTAGTATTGAGGTACTTGCCATCTTCCAAAAGTTGCCACGTAATACCAGTCATTTGCCAAAAGTCCATAGATCAAACAGAAAAAGATGGTTTCGTTTCGTTACGTTTCGTTACGTTTCGTCACGTTTCGTCACGTTTCGTCACGTTTCGTCACGTTTCGATACATTTCGTTACGTTTCGTTACGTTTAGTTACGTTTCGTTTCGTTACGTTTCGTTACGTTTCGTTACGTTTCGTTACGTTTCGTTACGTTTCGTTTCGTTACGTTTCGTTACGTTTCGTTACGTTTCGTTAGGTTTCGTTACGTTTCGTTACGTTTCGTTACGTTTCGTTACGTTTCGTTACGTTTCGTTACGTTTCGTTACGTTTCGTTACGGTTCGTCACGTTTCGTTACGTTTCGTTTCGCGGACAAAAGGACCTAAGTCTCGGTGGCATGGCACCAGGTGCAAAATGGTCAAAAGGATCTTAGGTGGACAAACGGATAGACAGACAAAAATACAGATAAAAGGACAGGCAGACGGAAAGAGGAGACAAATATACGGTAAAGGATAAAATCATAAAAATTCGTATCTATCTATCGCTAAGTAAGTAAACAATGGCAAAATGCTAGGAAGGGGGAAACCAAAAAGGTATAAACTTTGTAGGAAAAAATACTAAGAAATCATACAGAGAGCAGTGAAGACCTAAGATGATGTAGAAGCCAGTACAGGCCTAAGACGAAGAACAAAAAACTACTGAAGAAGAAGAAAAGGAAGAGTGAAACGTTAAAAGGGTGATATCCGTAGAAATTTATAGAAAAAAGAATGGAAAATCGTAGAAATCTTTAAAGAGCCATAGAATACACGGTGCTGCATTACCAAAGGGGCCATAGTTGGTTAGTACAGAAAATGTAATAACCAAGGAGACTTTACTTTTCTGGATCAATGAATACGGGAAGGTAGCAGTCAAAAGTTCAGTATTTGAGAATAAGTCTAAGAAGTCGTATTGTTCGTATTGTAGTCATACATCATCGTCGTTTCCTTATTACTTACAAGTACAATAAAAATACTCTACGTTTATTGTCGATAGTAAAAAGATAACAAAATACTCTTCGTCCATTATCGTATGTAAACCTGCGCAGTACGTTATTGTCGTGTCATCGTCTTAATCTTTATTAAAAATAAATACAACAATTACAATATATACCATCTTCGTTTGTACTCGATTATTTTCGCATTTAAGATTTACAACCTGGAAAATCATCTGTCAAACATTTATTATTACCATCTCTTTTTTTTCAAGCTATCAACCTAAAAAATATCGCAGCTATCCAACCATTGTCATCTCTACAGGTTTTTGTATGTCTATTCAATATTCTTTTTAACCTAAAAATATGGCATCTGTCATCTGTCACTATTAAAAAACGTTTGTACTCACTTTTTTCGTATATTATTATTTAGTTTCAGTATTTTTGCATCATCTTCTGTCTCGTATGACTCGTTAAATCCAATAAAAAGGCCTCATTCATTTTTAGAAAGTAATTATCGATTGCTTTTATATTTAGCATTTCTATCCTAAAAATATGACATATGTCATCTGTCACTATTAAAAAACGTTTGTACTCACTTTTTTCGTATATTATTATTTAGTTTCAGTATTTTTGCATCATCTTCTGTCTCGTATGACTCGTTAAATCCAATAAAAAGGCCTCATTCATTTTTAGAAAGTAATTATCGATTGCTTTTATATTAAGCATTTCTATCCTAAAAATATGACATCTGTCATCTGTCACTATTAAAAAACGTTTGTACTCACTTTTTTCGTATATTATTATTTAGTTTCAGTATTTTTGCATCATCTTCTGTCTCGTATGACTCGTTAAATCCAATAAAAAGGCCTCATTCATTTTTAGAAAGTAATTATCGATTGCTTTTATATTTAGCATTTCTATCCTAAAAATATGACATCTGTCATCTGTCACTATTAAAAAACGTTTGTACTCACTTTTTTCGTATATTATTATTTAGTTTCAGTATTTTTGCATTATCTTCTGTCTCGTATGACTCGTTAAATTCAATAAAAAGGCCTCATTCATTTTTAGAAAGTAATTATCGATTGCTTTTATATTTAGCATTTCTATCCTAAAAATATGACATCTGTCATCTGTCACTATTAAAAAACGTTTGTACTCACTTTTTCCGTATATTATTATTTAGTTTCAGTATTTTTGCATCATCTTCTGTCTCGTATGACTCGTTAAATCCAATAAAAAGGCCTCATTCATTTTTAGAAAGTAATTACCGATTGCTTTTATATTTAGCATTTCTATCCTAAAAATATGACATCTGTCATCTGTCACTATTAAAAAACGTTTGTACTCACTTTTTCCGTATATTATTATTTAGTTTCAGTATTTTTGCATCATCTTCTGTCTCGTATGACTCGTTAAATCCAATAAAAAGGCCTCATTCATTTTTAGAAAGTAATTACCGATTGCTTTTATATTTAGCATTTCTACCCTAAAAATCTGACATCTGTCATTCATCACTATTAAAAACGTTTGTACTCACTTTTTCCGTATATTATTATTTAGTTTCAGTATTTTTGCATCATCTGTCATAAAAAATCCAATATAAAAAGTCCCATTCTTAGACATTTAAATACACTTTTTCATTAATTACTGACATTTCAGTATGGTATCTTCGCTTATATTGTATCTTTCATTATCCTAAAAATATGACATCAGTTGTTTTTTCAACCCAAAAAGATAATAGCTATCGTTAAAGACATCTGTAAACCTTTGTAATCACTTTTCCCCTAATTATTGACATTCATTTGTTACGATATTCTTACTTATTTAGTTGCTGTATATTTCTACAAAAATAAGACATCAGTCAGTAAATTCGGTTAGTATCAGCACCACTAGGTTATTTTATACTTTCTTCTATCTATGCTATCTTCATAGTATTCTCATTTTTGTTTTTAATTACATCTCTCATTAAATCCATTAGTATTAAAACTTTTGTACTCACACATATTTTCGTTTTCTGTTTTTAAAAGATTTCTATATAATAATTATCGCTGAGACGTTGTTCAAAGCAATATTATCATTTCTTGCGGTTACATATCCGGTAAAAAGTCAACATATTGTTAGATATCTACGATGTATTATACGACAAAAATATATATACAGGGAAATATCTATCTAAAAGTATACACAGTGTAATAACAAAATTAATTATAAAGGCTACCGAAAATGTTTTAAATACATACGTTTTGAAAACATCAAAAATAAGAAAAAGAAAAGAAAATATCTATAGGCAATCTGTAGACAGATATCAATACCAATGCTAATAAATGTAAGTTTTCAATCAACAAACTCTTATTTACTTTTTGTACGACTAATTCTAATGTTAGATTTCATTCAAAGTACAACAAGTATAATTTTCTACGGTCAAAGCTAAGTTTTCATTCACAAGCTCATGCAATATGAAGAGTATGAAGGACTTATACGAGAATATTTATAACAAAACATGGAGCTTAAATCATATAAAATGACAGATGCATCTTCAAGTATCATTGTCAAAAAAAAGTTTATATTTACTAGAACATTTTTCGCAGGAAGTCACTAACGTAAAACAGAATCCTTCCTGATATAAAATCATATCAAAACATTAAGTTAAAAGATAAGTTTTGGTAAAGCAGCATTCTGCAAATATTAATGTCGTCAAAATTTATATTAGCAGAAGTTTTTATAGAAATTGGAATAATAAAACTAGGGTTTAGAGCAATAATTTCTACATTCGACTGTTCCTTTAAGGTATCTTGCAACATTGTTCATAAATGATTTCAAACGGCAAAAATCGTCAAAAACGCCGAAAAACGCCAAAAATGGCAAAAACGTAAGGTGTATGCTTCTACAAGTAGAAATCACATCAGCGTCGTTCGTTTTCGTTCATTATCATATCGTAGTTACCATTGTTTGGATATTTAAACAAAGATATATCTGAAGACGAGCTGAAGATATAATCAGGTGAA